GCTCAGTCAGGCTTCCTGTCTTGGCACGCCCTGCACTGCCCATTTCCTGCCTGCCTGCTGAAAAAATGCCCAGCTCCACTCCCCTTCAGCTAAAATCCTTGCTCAGTCAACCCAGACAGGCCGAACTTTTCATTCTTTCAACCCTCTCACGTTTCCTGCCAGACTCTTCCAGGTGACTTTAAAAGGAAAACTACAGCGGGGACTTATTTTTGTAGCCCTGGCTTTCAATTATGAATAAGGTTGTACTTTCTAAAGTATCACACGTTGTACTTTCTAAAACCACTTTATTTGGTTGTAAAACTGAAAGTGAGCACACTTTCAGTAGTAATCCCTCATTATACAGGAGCGCACATAAAGTCAATAAGTACGATAAACTGAACCAGGAAGTTTATCTGTAAACTGTGATGGATGTTAGATGGTGTGGATAAGAATTCACTTTTGCCTGACTAGCAAACTGTCTCAATATCTGATTTTAAATTTAAACTGAATATACTCTGACCTTCACTCTTATGTATGTGTGTCCTGTCCATACATCGAGCAGCTGGAGAAAGACTTGATAATTGAAGGCACAATGAAATCAGGAGACTGAATCTATGGACGAAACTAAATAACATAATATTAGCATGTGTTTATCAGCTAGTCGCTATCTGTCTGTGTTGTTTGGTGCTGAGCAGATAGTGTTCAGTGGCTTTATCACAGTTTTTTTCACCGGCTGCTTTTGGAGACAACGCTGGTGAGAGGTTAACCAATGAGCTGAAACAAGCTCCATACAGTTGAGATGAACTGCAGAGATGGGTGATAATTCTCTGTGGGTTCATCATTTGATTATGAGTGACCCCTTTCACATGCACATAGTGAATTGATTCAATTGTTAACATGAAAAATACAGATTATAGCAGTTTAATGTTTTCAGTTGAGGTTGTTAACAACACAAGTGTAAAAGTATAATCAGCTGAGAAACATCCTGAGTGTGAATATATCTGCAAAAATGACCAATTTGGTCTTTAATAAGGGTATTTCTTGTATACTTTAATGGTACAAGGCTAAAGGAAGGTCTGACCAACTAAAAATACATGTCCATTTCCTTGAAAATAATAATAACCTCACGTTTCAACATGCAAAACCAAAAATAAACACTAGAAGCCGAAAGCTAGCCTCAGCATGGTGGGTTTCACACAAACACACATCCCTCCTTCACCATCAAATGGTGCTTTTTTTTTTTTTTTACCAACGCATTCAAAAATCAGATAATAAATGGAAAAGCATTTTGGGCCCAAACATTTTTCCAAAAGTAACTCCACCCGACTCTAAAGGTCACCCCTCTGAACAGAGCCCTCTGTGTTGCTTGTTTAAGGACCATTTTACGTGTTGCATCTGACATGAACATCCACTCTCATACAACAGTCACTCCACACCTCTTAAAAAAAAAAGGAGCCTGGCTGGCACTGAGGAGAGGAAGAAAGTGGAAAAGATGGTCTTTTTTAGTGCGGCTATTTTTTTTCTGTGTACTTGAATACACACAGGGAAAGACGCAGCTGTGAGAGGGAAAATCACGGGCTCAGAGAAGTCATGTTACACAGGCCTCGTTGGAGGAAACCGAGGCTGTCTGCGTACTGATCTGCAACACGATCAACACAGTGAACAGAATCTGCATTGCAATTATTAATTCTGCTCATAAGTGATGGTGACACCGCCCGTCCATGCTGCCACAGCATCTGTCAGCGTAATTGCAATCAAAGAGCAGTGTCATGAAGGCCCGTACAGGCCAAGCAGACTGTAACTGGAAGTTTGTTTTCCACCGAGCATCTTCTATCCCATTAATAACAGGGCATTTGGTGATGCAGATAAGCCCAGTGGGATGACGCCGTCTCTTAAGAGCCCATTAAAAAGCTTGAAAACATAGAGCTTCAGGATATTTGGAGTGTGTGACCTCAGAGCATCGGGCTTCTGTTCCTGAGGGCAGAGGTGGGGGGCAGCAGCTGGTTAAAGACACACACACACACACACAGATGCTGACCGCAAGGCTCTGGCGTAATTAAACTCTCAGGCCGACACCCCCGTGGCAGGTTTATGAGCCTCTCCTAATAGGACGGCTTTCTGCAGCCTCGTGTGAAGGAGCTCAACTTCCTGCAGGACTGGTGATGTCACGACAACGCATTATAAAAGGAACATCTGTGCAGCTCAGCGAGGCTCCTCGGCCCACTTGCTCATTACTCCCCAACACCGAACACACGTGAACATCACAGAGTTTGTGTGTCTCACTGTGTGTGTGTGGGTGGGTGTGTTTTCCTGAAGGGCTTGATGATGGCTTATGTAGCGATCTGACACCAATTAAAAACCGTCCCACAACAGTAAAACACTGTTGTCAGTAGTTTCTTCTAAGCACCACAGTCTGTCTGACTGGCAACTGCCAACTCAGTTTGTTAAAGAAAATCTTTTGATGTGCATCGTTAAAGACTTTACTGAAGTTATGTGGAGGCAAAAATAGGTATGTCATTCAGGGATGAGACAGTTCACTCCTCCATACATACATGTGATTTGACATTTAGACATTTCATAGCACCTGAGAAATTACTTAAGAGGTGAACAATATTAAAATAACAACAACATGAATCTGATCGGTAAAGGCTCTCTGAGGGCAATTAAATATCTTTTTAATCTGGCTTTTTATTTGGAGTATTGTTATAGCCTTAGATTGTCTAGCAACTTTTATTCATTGATGATTTACATTTGTTTCTTTTGTTTATCCTATTGCTCTGTGAGGCACTTTGGGTTGCATGTTTGTACGAAAGGTGCTATATAAATAAAGCTGAGTTGAGTTGCCGATTATTTTCTCCATCAGTGAACTGTGGTCTATAAAATGTCAGAAAAAGCCCATCATATCTTCCCAAAGGGAAAGGGGGCGTCTTCAAATTGTTTGTTTTGTCTGACCAGCAGTCCAAAACTTTTAGAACGAAAAAAATAAACGGCAAATATTCACATTTGACAAGCTGGAAGCAGTTTTGGGGGTGATTATGCGACCAAAATATGACACAAATCTGTCATATGACTAATCATTTCAGCTCTGGTTACAAGCTAGCATTTAGTTCAGTTAATATTCAACTCTGGTTTTTTTTATAAAACGTTTCTGTTGATGAGAAATAGATTTGATTTTGTGATATTTACATTAAACATGTTTAATAGGCATCAGCATCCCTGTGACATCTAGTCTAATCAAAACATTATGTTTGCATGCTCTCTCTTTCCTGACATTCCAGATATTACTGATGCCTGGAAACAGTGCAGTGCAACAGGTACACTACACCTACAGGTCCTAACCTCCTTGTCACACATGGGGCCCCTGCAGGGAAATTAAAAATATCAGTATCACCATCTGCTGCAACGACACTGTAACTGACTGTTTATCTCATATCTGTTAACATTTCAGCTTCATGCAACTGTAAGCAAAACATCTTTCATGCGTCCTCAAAACTCTTGAATCCAACAACTAACTGCCTCCGCAGTACATCACCGGCTTCTGTACAGTGTGAGTATGTAGAGTCTGCATCTATCTGGACTTTGTTTTCATACCAGCGTGTCTCGCTACAATGGCAAACAAAAACACGGAAAAAGAACCGATGGGAACAGCCTTGAGGAATTCTGTAAGGTCCACAATACTGAGCAGTTTGTCTCAAATAACCTGTACAGTGCAACTGAATGGAGAGAGATTTTCCCTCACTACACCTACACCATGTCTGCGCTACATGCCCCGGCTGACTTCATGTGGGCAGCTGAGATTTATTACAGAGATCGGAGAGTTAGGTTTCCTGTTTGGATTTGGTGCCTCTTCATACATTTGCTACTATCAGTGTGTACCATTTCTTTTATTGTTGTGCTGCATAATTACCTTGAATACAAACTCTGTGGATCATTAGAAACAGGTTTTAAAAAAAGTGCTTTCACCACCCACCCTCCCCCACACCTGAACAAGGGCTAAAAGTACAGCCATCCATCCATGTTGGCAGTGAAAGACCGGTCTCATGTGCACCTGCTCCAGTACACCCTGGAGCCTCTATCTCATCATTCACAGCACAGAGTCAAAGGAAGATACATGCACATAAGATCTGTTTAAATCCACACAGTTAAAAAAAAACATTGTTTTACTGTCCTGCATCTCACTTTGAATTTAAATTCTGACCTAGTGTCTCTTTAATTTGTGTAACTCACTGATAGTAACACAAAGACACACTGTGAGCTCTGTCTTTAAGCTCTGTCTCCAGCATCAGACATCAATACAATCTGTAATTGCCATTCAGGGCACATTTAGGCTGTGCTTTGCTGAACTTGTTCCACTAACCTGCAGCTGGAGACTGACAGAAAGAGACAGAAAGCTCCGGGCAACAGAAGGGGGACATTTTCATGTCCTGGACCGCAATAGACGCAGTTAAAGCTGCAAAAACCACCATGTGTTAAAGCCCTGTCCTCATTAAAAGGATGGTTTTGGTTTCGACAGTCTGGTCCTTCTGCAGTGCAAGTAAAGAGTGTGATCTTACCACTAAGTGGCTTTAAACTGTTCTTCCATTTAGCTATGGACCCCCCCCC